TGGGGGTGTTACTTGGAACCCTGACAGACTGCACATTGCTTATACACTATCAAAAGGATATGTTTTAGCACTGGTTAATAAGAACAAAATGTAACACTTGTACCATTATAACAAGCAAGCTTAAAATACAACCAATTAAATGTTTTTTGCCCTACAGAGTTAGTAAAATACTCAGACATTCATAGACCAAAGAAAAACACTTGTCTGCTCTCATTATGATCTATAAAAACTGGCAGTTTGTTATCCTATTAGCAACTATCCTGCGGTTTCAAAGTGTTGATGTATAAAAAATATTAACATATACTTGGATAATATCCATCAGTTCTTCAATGTCAGCTGTTTCTATCAAATAAGAATTGCAGATGTCTAAATCATATTACTACTGTTACTAATAGTATATGTCTGCAGTTTTGTGTGGGCACATTGTATGTCCATAAACATATGTTTTCCATCTGCAGAATTATAGGAAGCAGCTGAAGTTTTTTAAAAAGCCAACAAAAACAGCCCAACAGCTGTAAAATAAAATAATGCCATCAATTTCACTTCAGGGTGACAGCTCAACCATTAAGCAGAGAAATAAAGACTAGGCATTGAAGCATTTCTCCATCAAAATTTAAATGGGGAAAATGCATTAAAATTATCTATCATATTAAAACCTCTTAGAGTGTTCGTACTGAATGGACAAATTGAGCAATCTTTTGTTTGTGTAAAGCCAGTTCTGTGACTATTTCATGTCTGCATCTAATGGTTCCTTCAACCATTGTAACTACTGAAGTTTTGGCAGCCCAGTGTGACAGTTTCAAGAAAATGCAGGTAATTGCACACTCTATGAATTGTCTTCCAAAAGCTATTAAAAGTATTCATCTGGGAAAGAACCAGAAACATCCAACTAGTTTCACAATATCCTTCATCTATAATCAGAGGAGTTATGGGAAGAAGGGGGTGCAATGCCTCAGCAGTTAAAGATGCTGAATTTGTCAGCTGAAAAGCTGACAGTCTGGGTTCAAGATATGAGTGTCATGTGACAGGGCAAACTTCCATTATTTGCCTCTGCTCCTGCCACTCTAGCAGTTTGAAAGCATGCAAATGTGAGTAGACAAAAAGGCACCATCTCAGTGAGAAAGTAACACCGTTCCATGTACCTTGGCATATAGTCATGCTGGCCATATGACCACGGAAGTGTCTTCAGACTATGCTGGTTTCTTTGGCTAAGAAACAAAGATTAGCACTGCCCCCTAGAGTCAGTCACGACTGGACAGGGGAAACCTTTATCTTTCTTTCTTATTTATTTATTTATTTATTTATTTATTTATTTATTTATTTATTTATTTATTTATTTATTTATTTATTTATATTTTTATTTATATTTTTATTTATTTTATTTTATTTGTCAACAAGTACAAGGAAAAAGGTAACAGTATAGACATAGACATGGACATATGAAAAAAAAATTGGCACAAATAAAAGGATATAAATAAGCAAAACATAGCCATAAACACATAAAATGAGTACATATAAATGGGAACAGTAGGACAGGGACAGTAGGCACGCTGGTGCGCTTATGCACGCCCCCTTAGGGACATTTTAAGAAACGTGAAAAGTCCACGGTAGACAGTTTAAGGTAAAAGGTATGGGGGTTAGCGAGACTAACAACAGGATCAGGTAGAGTATTCCAGACATTTACTACTCTATTGCAGAAGTCATATTTCTTAAAATCAAGATTAGAGTGAATTACATTGAGTTTGAATCTATTGATAGCCCTTGTGTTATTACGGTTGAAGTTAAAGTACTCATTAACAGGTAGGACGTTATGGTAAATAATCTTGTGTACTAAGCTTAGGTCAGAACATAGACAGCATGGTTCGAGGCTATCTAGTCCTAAAATTTCAGGCCTGGTGGTATAGGGAATTTTATTTCGAGCAGAGAATTTGAGTACTCTTCTAGTAAAATATATCTGGACCTCGCTAATGTATTGATGTCTGAAATACAGTGAGGGTTCCAGGCATGTGGGAGGGAGGGTTTGAAAATAAAGACAAATGTGGCAATCATACAAAACACCAGCCTTTTTTTAAAAGAGAGTGTTGCTTCAAGGCATGGCATCTTGATTTTTTTTTTTTTTCCATTTTTCATTCTCCAAGTGACAAGAGCAACATGGGCCAGAATCATTTTAATTCCTGTGCCTTCAAATAAAAAAAAACTGTAAGCCAAAATCCTCAGTGAATTTTGCTTTAAAATTCATTCTTGCTTTTGTTCCAGCATATTCTCTGAAGGTTATCTCTACTGTAAAATGCCACTAATCAATATGACTTATTTAAACATAGTATTATGTTTAAAGGGAGGGAGGCATGATATAGTGATGTCCTACATGGTGTCGCAGTTCTTTTGCTTCCAAGCTATAACAGAGAGAACGAAGTTTGAAGAAAATGTTCTTCCAGAGTAAATATGATATATGGACCAGCATTGGATGTTTAGAATAAGGAAGTAACCAATAGTTCAAACTATGCCAGACTTTTAATTAAAAAAAAACCCTCATTCATAAAGTAAAATAGTATCTAACAACGGAGCACAAAGCATAATGATTTTTCATTTCTTTTACAATGACTCAGTTAAATACTTTTATGGATGACACAGGGAGGAAATAGAAAAAAAAAGTCTCATTTTTGCATACAAATAGTGGGTGTCAGCTACTAATTAATTAATATAAATTACACGCACACACACAAGTAGTAAAGCCCCTGTGCTGGCAAATAGGAATCTTTGATCTTGGCCTTCCTATCAACACCAATGACATGAAGGCTCCATGACTTTTTATAATTTAGTAGTGGATTCCAAATTGTGGGGGAGGGGGGAATCCTTTGCTTTTGCCAGTTTTGGGGGAAAAAATAGACAGAGCAGAGCTTCTTCTTCTTCTCAGGACTGTCACATCCCAAACATTTGCTCTGATGATAGATTAGTAAAATCATTTTTTGTACCAGTGCACATTCATTGGAAATATTTGAGCTGGCTGACATATATAGGTACCACCTTGAGTGGTAGAAATGCACTTCTAATATTAATTCTATTCTCCCCAGCCTGGTGCTTTCCACTGATTAATTGTTCTAATTGTCAAGAACTTTCTCCTTAGTTCTAGGTTGGTTCTCTCCTTGATTAATTTCCACCCATTGCTTCTTGTCCTGTCTTCAGATGCTTTGGAAAATAGGTTGACACCCCTCTTCTTTGTGGCAGCCCCTGAGATATTGGAACACATCGCCCTTAGTCCTTCTTTTCATTAAACTAGGCATACCCAATTCTAATATTTTGCCATATTCAGTAACAACTCTGGTGCCACATTCAGTGGAAGTATCTGAGCTGACTGAAGTATATAATAAATACCAACTTGATTTGTACAGTAGAAATGCATTTCTAATATTAATTCCACTCTCCCCAACCTAACACTTTCCAGATACAGTATATTGGGATGGTTGGTTGGGAGTTCTAGGACTGCAAATCCAATACACCTGAAGTCAGTTTGGGAAAAGCCAAGTGGTGGGTTGGGAAAAGCCAAGGGGCAAACCGGTAGTAGTGGTGGCGGGAGGCTCTGCCCACCCACCCGGACATGCACAGAAGTGGCGCATGTATGAGCAAGCCGGTAGCAAAGGTAATTGAAACCCACCACCGGAAAAGCCCCTTATCCCCTTGATGCAACTATGGACATATTTTGGACATGTGCAAATTAAACCAAAAGATTCCAGCAGCATCAGTAAGATTTAGCTAACATTCCCTATAGATCTCACAGAAACCAAACAATGAATGAATGAAGCTAGAAAGGAAGCACAGGAATACAGTGTTTCCTATAAAGGTTCCTTTGATGATTTCATGGGCAGCCTTCTTGTTTTTTCTGGGCAAACCACAGCAATGACAAATTGATACACATGCATAGACAGGCCATAATTGCCACGTTTATGTACCTGTGCTACAATGTCAGATGTCAGTACATACATTGAGGCATTTGTGTGTTAACATAAAAAGTAAAGGTAAAGGTTCCCCTTGCACATATGTGCTAGTTGTTCCCGACTCTAAGGGGCGGTGCTCATTTCTGTTTCAAAGCCAAAGAGCCACCACTGTCCAAAGACATCTCCGTGGTCATGTGGCCGGCATGACTAAACGTCAAAGGCGCACGGAACGCTATTACTTTCCCTAAAAAGGTGGTCCCTATTTTTCTACTTGCATTTTTTACGTGCTTTTGAACTGCTAGGTTGGCAGAAGCTGGGACAAGTAACGGGAGCTCACCCTGTTACGCAGCACTAAGGATTCGAACCGCTGAACTGCCAACTTTTCAATTGACGAGTTCAGCATCTTAGCCACTGAGCCACCGCATCCCTTGTGTGATAACATATCCAGGCACATTTTGTCATTTGCTTTCTTGCCGCTATGGATCTCCATACTTGTGGATGTTTTCTTTCTTTTCTTCTTCTTCTTTTTTTTTTTTTGTCTAGTTTAAATTACAGCCTTGGAATTCCTGGTGGTCCCTTTTTCAAGTACTAACCACATCTAACTCTACCATTTGGGATCACCCAAGGTCATCTAGGATCTGCCAAATAGCTAGGATTAATTGTTTTTACTATCCTAGATAACCAATCGTAATTTATTTTTTGGTATGACTTTCACAATTTGGTGCTTCTAGATTTATGTTAGAAATATGATTCCCATCATCTCCAAATAATATAGCATTGTAGAATTTGGATGGCTAAGAATTATACTGTTTGCAGCCCAGCGTATCTGAAGAGTGCCAGGTTGGAGAATGTTAATACAGCATATTCACTCATGTTGTAATAAAAATACTGTCCAAAAGAAATATTGCATACAATCAGTGCAAATGACTGAAGTTCTATAAGCACTCTATCTTTTGTAACACAAATACACATTCAAAGAGAAAAATAACTATTATTTTGAAATAACAATAAGTATTTCAAGTTTTACTTTATTGCTTTTTTATCTGTGGCTATGTTTTGCATCCTTACCTTAAAAAAACCATGTTTTCTGTTGCGTTGTCCTAGCCACAAATTGCTTCCTGGAGTCAGATTTGTTTCTGGACGATCTATCACCCTTTCATAAATCCTGTAAAGCAAATGGTGTTGTTAGAGAAAAGCAACAGCTTTGGTTTTTTGTTTTTAAAAAAACCTTTTTAAATATTGAATATAAAAAACATTAGTAGAAATGATAAACAAAATGCAACCCGAGGGCAAATCAAACTACCATACATTCTATTTCTAAGTCCGCAACTGAACAATTAAATACAAAAGAATATCAATTTTCCAGAGTCAGATGAAATACAAGATTTCAAAGATGGTTAGGGTAGTGCCATAGATCATATAACAGGTTTTAATTCAGTAGTGCATAGTGATACTGTACTTAAAATAAAATTAGCTCATAAGAGCTAATTTTTTCTTTTGAATAAGCAGTATCAAATCAGTATCAATAATCAGTATCCTAATCCAAAAAAAGGTTCCCCATTTTTGTATTAAAGTACAATTCCGGAAATTGATGGCCGAAGAAGCAATGGTCAAAGGTAACAAAGAAAGAGCTTCTTAAAGGCTTAAAATAAAATGGTTTATTTTCTATCTGTTCAGTATAGATTGGCATCTTTTAATCATTAAAAAGAAAGGTATAGTTTATAAATCATGGTTTGCCTTGACATCCTAATCCTAATTATTGGATGCAGAGGATCAAACAAAAGAATAGTTTGAGAATTTCATTTATTCATTTCATCATTTATAAGTTCTGCAAAAACATGGTATAGGTGACAACCCATTCTGAAATGCAACTTTTTCAGGGAACCAAAATACCTGAGTTTTAATGAACATTTAGCAAAAAAAGTACTGCTCAGTTAAATAAAATGCGCAGTATCATTTTCTGACTGTTTTGGACTAATTAACAAAATGCTAATATTTATATAGATGATTAAAATATTTTAATTAAGAAGGAGGAAACCAACAGAATATTATCATTTAAAGCCTATGGCTTAGAAACACTAAATGAACTCACAAGTGTTATTCACATAATTATGAACATAACTGCTTATCTGCGTTGTAATTACAATCAACCCTGATACCTTAGAATACTGAGGCAAAAAAGCTATATTCAAAGTTGTAATCATTAATGGTGCACTGAAGAGGTGCCCCTCATTTGCTTCAAAATAACGACATATTTCCTCTTGAACTAATTTACCTCTTAGAGTAGTAAAACAAGTTGCCATCCACCAAGTCTATATTTTTTAAATCATCAAAAGTATTTATTATCTCTATCAATATTTAAAGTGCACAATTTCTTCAACAACAAGAGCACAATTAAACTTCTCACATACAAAAGTGCTTTAAGAGTCTATATACAGATTTCAACATACTTATCAAATAGTGTATCAGCCTTACAGTTCTCTCATTGGCTTCTTACTGCAAATGTTTTGCATTATTTATTTATGACTTTAGTATTTTCTCTAGAGTGTGTCTAGTCTTCCCAAAGTAACGATCAATATTCCATGAAAAACTCCACCTTCTCTTAAAAACTAACACGTTTTCCTCAAGGGTTTAAACAAAAGAATGCACTGCTGTCTGCATTGCAACTTACAAAGAGTATTGCATTTTATTTTTCTGACCAAATACAACTCTAGAAACACTCCATTAGATCTGTCTTCACTGACATAAGAAATATGAATTTTCTAATATAGAAACACACAAATCAACATGCTTTATGTTACAGTTCAATACTATGATATAAGGGAGACAAATGACACAGAATGTTACTTGCAAGTAACATTGGGAGAATTTAACAAACGATTTATGGAAAACAGGCATAACTTCTTTTCCTGACAGTTTTTCAGAAAATCCCATTCATAAATGTAGCTTGACAAGCAACTCAATATTTTTTTTCACATATTGTTCTAATCCTCTTTCTGAAATATCTACCTACTTTCTCCTTCAGTCAGTCATTTGGGTTATGAAGGACTTTTTTGGGGGGTTGGGGGTTTTCTCATATAAAGGATGGTTAAGATATCACAGGAACACATGAGATTTCATAATTCCTATGAAGTATTTTGATAACTGTATAAGGTTGACTAACATATTGGGGTTACTAATAAAAAAGATCCATTAAAGCAGTTAATGCTATCCCTCTCTCATTCCTTCCAGATTTTTGTGAATGACTACTGCAATCACTGTAATTTCATACTCCAATTCGTTCATTGAATCTTCCAGAAGTCAGCTGTGATTTAGTGGTTTGGGGTACAAAGAATCTAAATGCCAAATAACATCTCTTGTTCAGTTTAGACAAGAAACAAGAAACAAAGAAATAAAATTTAAAAATATCTTGAAAGGGAAGTGCTAATATTTATATAGATGATTAAAACCTTTTAATTAAGAAGGAGGAAACCAACAGAATATTATCATTTAAAGTCTATGGCGGGAGGTTTCTGGGAAATAAATGACCTGCTCCATCACAAGACTTTTTCAATGTTTATGAATGGCATGGCATGGCATGGCATGGCATAGCATGGCACGGCACGGCACGGCACGGCATGGCACAGCACAGCACAGCACAGCACAGCACAGGACAGGACAGGACAGGACAGGACAGGACAGGACAGAACAGAACAGAACAGAACAGAACAGAACAGAACAGAACAGAATAATTCTTTATTGGTCAAGTGTGATTGGACACACAAGGAATTTCTCCCCAGTTCATAAGTCTCAGTACATACAAATAATAAAATGAAAATAAGAGACCTTCTCCTAAATAAGGGGAAAGATTTACATTTTACATGGTATTACATGGAAATCATAATGAAAACAATGGCAACTTTTATGTTTAGAAGCAAACGAATTAAGTATGGGCAAGCCATGGGCTACATCCTGAGAGCCTATCATTGAAATTCAGTGACAAAATTGGTGACTTACCAGAAGTACAGATTTTAGTATCAGTCTTGTTTCATTGTTCTGGCCCAAATGAGGGTAAAAATAAGAAAGGGAAGTTTGGGAAGGCAATATGAGAGAGCAAATGTGATGTAATAGTTAAAGTATTGAATTATGAATATGAAGACCCAGGACCCAGTTCATCATCAGGCATGAAAGCTCACCCTGTGACTTTGGTCCAATCATTTATTCTGACCTCAGACTACTTCAAAGATTTGTCGTTGTTATGGGAAATCACAGGAGGAGAAAGCATTGTGTACATTGCCTTTGGTTCCTCAATGAAAGATGTGTTGTACATTTAAGAAATAAATGAACTGTTCCCATTTTCACCCTTTAATCTCTTCTCCCAAATAGCCCAATGGTATGACAGAAAAGTTCTTTACAACTGAATGTTGATGGTTTAATTTAAAAGTTTGGGGAATTTGGGGTCTGAAAAATGAAAATGGGAAAAGTTTGCCTCCCACAGGCACCTTGCTCACATTTTCACACTTAAAACCTTACAAACCCGCAAAAATGTGTGTTGGGGTTTTCCAATGTCCAAAAAGGCCATTCTTAGGCCTTTTGGGACATCATAACTCTTTCAGTTGTATCTCCAGCTGGTCAAGAGAATGACTTGCCCCTCTGCCTCTTGAAGACTGGCCCACTCCTGATATAGGTCATTCATTCTTTGCTTCACACAAGCTTCTATGCCAAGCGTGATTTGAATCTGATTTGAAGTAAGTTATATTATTTATAAGTTGTCAATGTTATCAACATTCTTAGGAAAGTATTAGTCAGTCATCTATTTTCTTCTGTTCGGTACTAACAATGAGACTTTAATTGTGTCCCTGGTCACTTTTAATCAGACCTGAAAGAAGAAGCCAATTAATTCAGAGTTGTTCTTCAAGAAGTAGAAATGCAGACTGTGAACCAAAATGGATAAGAAGAAAAATATTTTTAAAAAACATAATAAAAATGACAAAAGTCAAAAATAATGACAGGTCTAAATATATTAGTGTTTAATAATGAATGTGTCAAAAGAAGTTTTATTATAGATGAGGAGCTGTTATCAAACTGGTGTCATCTGCTGATCAAAGCTCCCATGTACTGACATGAAAGAAAGAAACAAATAGTCCCAATTCTATTGTTCTATCCATGTAGATCTCTTGGGAACTCTCACCTTATCAGAGAATTTGAGACTCTTTTGGAGAACAGTTCAGAACATAATGAAAAGTGTCAAGGGAGAATTATCCAAACTCATTCCCTTTGGGTAAAACAGGATATTCTCACATTTGTTCTCAAACAAGGTTACATATTTCCACAATTCTGAAGCTTGCCAGAAAAGGATTTGTCTTCATTGCAATCTGTTGCTTGCTGAAGCAATCTGCAGGAAGGTACAGAATTCCAGTAATTATTGTAAAAAGAAAATTGGTAATCTAGATTGCTTCTGGACGCAGCCAGAAAACTAGAGAACCTTGGCTTCTCCTAGTATCTCTCTGCACTTTCCTTTAGCACACATATCTGGGTGTTGTGACTCCGACCCCCGAGCCTGCCTTATCGGAGGGAGAAGGCTCCGAAAGTGAAGGAGAGGAGTTGGCCAGGCCTCCCTCTCCAGGACCCTCCTCTCTGGCAATGCCTCAGGTGTCTCCCGAAGGAGAAGAGATTGGCCAGGAGCCAGGTATTGCCGAGCAGTCGCAGTCGGACAGTGATGGAGTTAAGTCTTGGTGGATCCAAGCCAGCGTCAGAGAGACAAGCGCACACAGCAGAAAAGGAGGCGTGCCGGAGATTAAGCTGAGTCACTGGACCACACCCCATAGGGGATAAAAGGGGGTGTGGTGGCCATTCAGGCTCTGTGACAGACAAAACTAAACAACTAGCGAGTCGCATTGTATCTCTGAAACTACGTTATCTGCCTGCCTTGGATTTAATAAGGACTGGACTTGACAATTCTGTGGCATTTGTTTTGGTTCTCTGTGAGTAAAGTTCTTGGCAAGCAGCTACTGGGTTGCTGCCAATCCTGTTATTGAAGGAATTTATTGTCTGCAAGTTTTATTTAACTCCTGGCTGACTGTTTGTGTGCGTGTGTGAGACAGGGATAGAACTCTGGGCAGACAACTTCTGGATCCAATTTTAGCAAAACGTTATCTATCTATTCAGCTTCTGAGACTTCTGTGC